TTTTGCCAGTGCACATGTCTATGTGTTACTGGCTCTTTAAGCCTCCTCGGCTGTCTTCCCTGTGCCTCCAGCACACACAGCCTCCTGGCTCCCCTCTGACTTCTGGGTGGAGTCCTCCTGAACACAACCTGTCCCTCTTCCCAGCAGGAGCCCTCACGTGCCTCCAGCACACACCACACCAACTCCTCCCTTGAGCTCTGGTCTGGGCTCTTAATGATGCTGCTCTCAGCCACCTGATCACCGGCAAAACCTGACCCCCAGGACTGGAGATTTCATCCCACCCAGAACTCTAAGAAATCTCCAGAGATCCAGATCCCAGTTACAATCCAGGAAAAACCAGAAGAAACTGAAAGGCCGGCTTTCTTCCCTGCACATCTATTAATATTCTGGAACCTCTCAGCCCCTCTGGCTGAGAGTCCTGGGCGTCTGTGTCGCCAGCATCTTCCAAGGCATTGCCACCACTGCCACAATATATACTTTCCATTAGTTACTGCCCCTGGCATGTTCGTCATCACTAAGAATTGAGGAGCTACTTGTATGGGTGACCTTCAAAGTCTCAGAGCTGTTCTTGCCCTAGTCTATGCCACATCACACCCTGCTTGCCATTTGCCACCCTTTAAATGACATGGAAATGATGCTCTGAAGACTGAATAAGAACCTCAAGTATTACTTTTAACATTTACTAGGAATGGTTTAACCATCAACTGACCTTTTAGTAAAGTTGTCTTCTAATGGCTCCCCCAACACCCTCAGTTGAAGCAACTTACATAACTTTGTGCTTTCAGTTCTGCCCCCAAAATCTTCATTGCTCTCTGCTGCAGAGACGTCCTGGCTTCGTTTACCTCCTACAGCATGTGAGCGATCCTGGCTGCATTCGTTCCTATCATGCACAAGAGTAAGGACCTAGCTACAGGAATGAATGGGACAAGCAGCACATTGTAGGAGATGGATGCAGCTAGGACTTTGTTTCTAGAAAGTCTGTGCAGTGCCCCAGAGTAAAGCTAAAGGTAGGTATTGAGGTAGGTCACCTCAACTGAGAATTTCAGGGGAACATTTAATGGGCAACACTAACAGTGGAGTTGTCTCTGAAGTAGAAGGGAGGAGAGGAGAGGAAAGATGAGCAGAGGGGGAGGAAAGGAAAAAGGAAGGGAGGAGAAGAGGAGGGTCAAGAGATGGAGGGAAGGAAAGTGGAGAGGAAAGGAAGAGGGGTACAAGAGAAGAGAATACATGAAGAAAATGAGTAGTAGGGGGAAAGGCAGGTAGTGGGGGAAGAGAGATAGAAAGGGAGAAGAAGAGAAAAAATGGAGAAGGATGGAGGAGAGGAGCAGAAAGTGGAGGAATGGAAGGGAGGAGAGGAGCAGAAAGTGGAGGAATGGAAGAGAGGAGAGGAACAGATAAAGGGGGAATGCAAGATATGAAAAGATCAGGGAGGGGAGAAATGGAAGAGAGGAAAGGAACATGGAAGAGAGGAATAAAAAGAGGAAAGAAGCAGGAAAGGGAGAATGGAAAAGAGGAGTAGGAAGCGGAGGAGTGAAAGAGAGGAACAGGGAGTAGAGGAATGAAAGTGAGGAGAGGAGGAAAGAGGGGAGGAATGGAAGAGCTAGAATAGAGCAGTGGATCAGGAATGGGAAGAGTGGAAGAGAGGAGAGGAGTAGGAAGGAGAGGAATCTAAGGGAGGAGAGCAACAAGGAGGTGAGAAATGGGAGAGAGGAGCAGGAAGATCGGGAATGGGAGAAATGGGAGGAGAGGAATGATAGAATGGAGAAGAGCAGTAAGGGGAGGACTGGAAACAAGGAAAGGATCGGGAAGGGGAGGAATGTTAAAGAGGGAAGGAGCAGGGAGTAGAAAAATGGAAGGAGAGCAGCACCAAGGGAAGGAATGGAAGAGAGGAGCAGGGAAGTAAGGAATGGAAGAGAAGGGAGCAACAGGGACAGGAGCAGCTAAGTAGAGAGGAGAGCAGAGAGAGTATCGGGCACCATTTGGAAGCTGGCACTTAGCACACTAGTTCTTTTGGTCCGCAAGCCTCAAAGGGGAGATTTTGTTTGGCTCCCTTCATGGCAGTCTAAGAGGGCAGATCACTGCTAATATTTCCCAGCAACAGGGGCTACCCCTTACAGATTTGTGATAGGTTAGTTGTTTGTTAAAGTTTTGTAACTGCATTCCTATTCTTACTTCTTAATTAATAAAGTTATATTTATCAAAACTGGAGCAGACGGAATCTGGAGCAGTTTCCCACAGTAATCATTTAGATTGTTGATTAAAGCTTTGATTGGTTGCCATGTACATCTGCTCTAGATACTGCCTGCTCCAGATTTGATAAATCCCCCTCATTCCCCCTCATTCTATGCAATTCCCTGTGCTCTGCTTTTTATTTTCTAGATCCAGAAATAATGTCATGTTTGCCATACATAGTATCAGAGAGCAACGGTGTGGCAACATCAGTCATTAATGTAAATGGAAAATGTCTGGTCTCAACTGACCCCCTTCCAAGCAGGACTTGTAGTAACTTGTTTTAAAAAATGGGGTCAATTGGGGCTCAAAGCTGTTCCCGTGCCCCCCTGGGACAGCAGTGGGTGAATCAGCAACCAACAAGCATCATTGTGAATTTAAAGTTGTTGTCGAGTAAACGGAAACTTGGGCAGTCAGAAAAATAAGATTAATATTTTCTAGTCCATCAAATGGCAAGTCAAAGATGCATTTTGCTCTGAAGCAGCCTTCCAGCTTCTTCAGGGGCGCCTCAACATTTTTTGATGGTAGAGAACTCTAATATGAAGGGAACTCTGATGTAAAAGGGGGAGTACCAATATGATAGGGGGGGCCCTGATGTGAAGGGGAGGATTCTGATGTGAACGGGGGGCTCTTAATTTGAAGGTAGAATCCCACTTCTTTGTGTGTTTTTGGATGGGGTCCCCCTTACATTTTAGACAGGGGTGCCTGGGGATTTTCCATATCATATATCACCGCTGCTCTCTGACACTTCTGGGTGTGTCAGATATTGGCAATGGCGGCAGTATCTCTAGAAGAAGCAAAAAACAAACACCGCCCTCTCCTAGTGTAAAAACGTTTATTTTATATAGAGTAAAACATTTTTTTCATAAAAACTACTCACATAGCAGAGACGTGCAGTCAGGGGAGGCAGAGCCTCACCTAGAATTATGGAGGAAAAAGCTGTCAGCTTCATGTCTGAAGCTGACAGCTTTTTCTCCATTCAGATCGGCATCTAACAGGTTACACAGCAGGGAAATCCTCCCCTCTGTGTAACCTGTCATGGAGCCTCAGCAGTTAGGAGCAAGTGAGGGACAGGGAGGCTCCTCCCTGCCTCCTCCCTTCCTCCTTTACACTAGCTTGGGGACAGGTTGGGGCTTCGTCTGGTGGGGGTGGGGCTTCGGCCGCCAGGAGTTGGAGCTTTGGTTGGCAGGGGCGGTCTTCAGTCGCCGGGGGCGGGGCTGAGGAATGCCTCACCCCGAGCAAGAGGTACCACACGTCACTGTCACATAGACATAAATTGGGATGAGCAATAAGATAGCAGGCAGATCCTAGAGACGACTGACTAGCTGATGCATTTCGGGGGGAGCTTCTCCCTCGCCCTTAGCTCTGAGGAAGGGAGAAGCTCCCCGAAATGTGTCTGGTAGTCGGTCATCTCTAGGATCTGCCTGCTATCTTATTGCTCATCCCAATTTATCTCTATGTGAGTAGTTTTTATGAAAAAATGTTTTACTCTATATAAAGTAAACGTTTTTACACTAGGAGAGGGCGCTGTTTGTTTTTTGTTTTGCATGGTATTTGAGGATACTTCCCGGTGGCCTTGAGGACGGCAGCCCTTTCCCTTCACATTGATGTGGAAGAACTTCTCATGCTGAGCGCTGTGGTGTAGATAATTATTTTTGGTCATCTCTAGAAGAAAACAAGGATTTGACTCACCACCCACCACACAGGCAGGGCCGGATTTCCCACAAGGCCAACCAAGGCCTGGCCTCGGGGCAGCAGGGAGTACAGGGCAGCAGGGTTGTGGAATTCCTATCTCCCAACGCCCGGGACATGCAGTTCCGGGTGCCGGGCGGGTAGTTGTTTTCTACATTTAGCCGGGCTTTGAGCAAGCAGAGCTAAATGTACAGCGGAGAGGCTGCCACTTGTTTTATACAAGTGATCCTGGCGATGTCACCAAGATCACTTGTATGCAGCCTACAGGTCTGCCATTCTCCATGGGGGGGTGGGGAGGGGTGCACGGGGGCACGTTGAGAATGGGGTGGGCGGGTGGGGGGACGCATTGAGGAACCTGGCCTTGTGGCAGCAGAGAGAGTAAATCCGGCCCTGTGCCCTTTTTATTCCAGGCTGCACATGTTTCAATCTATGCAAGGAGGCAACAGGGCCACCGTGAGCTGCTAGCAGGGTCATCATCAATGTGAACCTATTGCTTTGTCCTGCACTGTTTCTTCCTAATTATTTGCTTTCATTAAATAGCAACATGTTAAAAAAATACATTGTTTTAAAGGAGAACTATGGGGTCAGTGTTTTTCCCCATAGTTCTCCTTAGGGTAACGGGAGGACACAAACTAGCGTCCTACCGTTACCCTAAGCTCAGTATACCGCAGTTTGCTTGAAATGTGATTTTAGATCCTCATCCACACCCTATAGTCCGGGGATTAACCTGGAAATTAAACTGGCAAAAAGTGGCAAAGATGTAAAATGTAGTTTGGGTAAAGTTTTATACATTTTTATTTAAATGTTATTATCTACAAATGTATAAATAGCTCTGAAGTGACAAATGTGTTTGAAATAATTGGCCCTAAGACATTTCCTAAGACTTCCAGCTTTGTGTTTTTCCATCAGAGGATACGGCCTTCTGGGACTGTTAAGGTTTTATATCTGCACATTTCAGTAGCTGCAGAAAAATTTCCACTTCGACATGTGCGGGCAAATCTTATATGTTTTCCTTCTAATAATTCCTCATATTGTCCATCTTGTATTATTGTTTACACACAGAATAAAAACTGGACAACATGAAGAATGTTACCATGATTTCCTCTCTCACTCTTGTGGGTCTATCAGACCATCCACCGACCATGCGTGGACTTTTTCTGCTTTTCCTTTGGATCTATCTGATGACTGTCATCATAAACCTCTTTATATTTTTCTTGGTTCTCATCGACCATCATCTGCACAACCCAATGTATTTTTTCCTCAGCAATTTGTCCGTCCTGGACATGTCTTATTCATCGGTGACAGCACCAAGGATGCTCTTTGACCTGGTCGCCAAAAGCCGATCTATAACCATTCCTGCGTGTAGAGCCCAAGTTTTCTTCTTCCTCTACTTTGCTTGCTCAGAGCTACTCTTGCTCTCGGCTATGTCCTACGACCGATACGTTGCCATCTGCCAACCTTTACATTACATGCAGATCATGTCCTGGAGTTTGTGCAGCCATTTGGCTTGTTTCATTTGGGTCTTCTCATTTATTTATGCCTTGGTTCATACTCTATGTCTGCTCAGGTTGTCCTTCTGTGGCCCAATTTCCATCCACAACTTCTTCTGTGACCTTCCGCACTTGTTCCAGATTTCATGTTCAGACCCCACCATAAACATTGTGCTTGTGTTCGCATTGGGTGGCATTGTCACATTAGGAGCCTTTCTTTGCACATTTCTTCCATATGTACGTATCTTCAATACCATTCTCCGAATTCGCAGCAAAACTGGTAAACTCAAAGCTTTCTCCACCTGCACCTCACACCTCACGGTGGTCTTCATCTTCTATGGCTCCTTAATATTTATTTACTTTGTTCCCACCTCCAGCAATATGTTTAGTATGAACAAACTGTTCTCAGTCATATATGCCCTCATTAACCCCTTGCTTAATCCATTGATATACAGCCTGAGGAGCAGAGATCTTAAGGCGGCACTCAAAAGATCCTTTCGTGATATAAGAACATCTGCCACAAGTTTTATTTATCTTTGGGAAAAGTGGTGAAGAGTTTAAAAAGGTTCATAGATATTTATTACCATCTATATCAGTGGTGTCAAACTCAATGTAATCGTGGGCCGCATCAACATTATGGTTGCCCTCAAAGGTACCTGTAAGACTATATAAATGTATCTAATCTTTATCATAATTGCCTCTGCATTCGATTATCACTGGTTTTAGTAATAACTTAATGCCTTGATCTGAATGTAGAAGTCTAGGAAGTGGCCTGGGGGGACGGATTCGGCCCCTGGGCCTTGAGTTTGACACATGTGATCTATATCGTAGAAAGTGAGGAGAGAGGCCACCTCTGACATGTGTCCCCGTATGAAGATAGCCCCACTTTTCCTGTTCCACTAACTACTATATTTGTGGGTTTCCCTTCACTTTTCATCCTGTGAATATCTGTGCACATTCATTTTGAATGTAAAAAACAAACATTCTTAATATGTTCTCTTTTCATGACAAATTTATTGTGATGTTATACTGCATAATGGCCGCTGGATGGAGCGAAAGAGCATAGGAAATGGTTATTTATGGACCCCCGTATGTCCTAGACTCCAGGGTCCACGATCCACCCTCTCTTAATGTCCAGATGACCACTGGCTCTAGGACCCAGAGCCAATGGTCATGTGGACAAATAGAGAGGGTGGATCTCCCCAATGGGGAAACTGACATGGATAAAAACCTAATGTAAAAGATGTAATAGAGGCACCACACCAATTATCATAGAGTCCAAGAAAGAGTTGTTAACCCCTCAAGTTCTCATACCTGTGCGCACCTTATGGACCAGAGAAACTTTTACATCTCCACCATTATTCTGCAATAACTTTGTTATTATTTAAGGTATCAAAGTAATACGTACAATGTTTTTGTAGGCTTTCATTTGACTTTTTTTGTTTTCCTTATTTTGTAATTGTGATTTTATATGGAAACTATAGAGAAAAAAGATGTAAAAAATGAATAAATTGCCTTTTTTTCTATTTTAACCAGTTTTAGTAGCTTTTTATTCTATACATGGTAACATAGAGGGTAAGGTTGAATAAAGAAACAGGTCCATTGAGTTCAACATATATAAATGAGTGTGTGCGTGTTTGCAAATACTTAGCTCTAGTAGTTTCCATATCCTTGTATATTTAATGTCTCAAGAAGCTCATCTAAAAGTTTCTTCAATTTATCAATGCTATAAGCAGACACTACTGACTATGGTAAGAAATTCTACATTTTTACTACAATGGCACCTAAAAGTGGGGGGATATATTACAATGACACCTCGAAGTGGGGGGGATATATTACAATGACACCTGGAAGTGGGGGGGATATATTACAATGACACCTGGAAGTGGGGGGATATATTACAATGACACCTGGTAGTGGGGGGGATATATTACAATGACACCTGGAAGTGGGGGATATATTACAATGACAACCTGGAAGTGGGGGGGATATATTTCAATGGCACCTGGAAGTGGGGGGTATATTACAATGACACCTGGAAGTGGGGGGGATATTACAATGACACCTGGAAGGGGGGGATATATTCGGCAACAAGTGAACATTATGTCCCTGAAGTTGATGTGTTGGAAGCAGAAATAATGGACAAGTGTGAGGATTTGAGGGACTTTGACAAGGAGTAAATTGTGATTCTAGACGTCTGGTCTGCAGTGGTCAGGACCGACCAAAAGTGGTCTAAGGAAGGAAACTGGTGAACCAGGAACTGGGTCATGGGTGGCCAAGGCTTATTGATGGATGTGGTAAGCACTAGACTTGTGCGCCGTAAAAAAAATTGTTCCGTTTCGTTCCGTTTCTGAATATCCGTTATTTCGTATTTCGTAATTCGTATCCGAAACTCAATTCGGATTCGTACGAAATACGAATTTTCGTTAGTTTCTGCACATTTTCGTAACTTTACGAACATTCGTTATGATGAAGTTAAAAAGCAAAAATACCTTTGTTAATATTGGAGTCGATGTGGTAGTTGGTTTTTATCCGAAATACGAATTCCGTTAACGGATTCCATATCCGAATTTCGTATTTCAGATAAAAAAAACTACCATCAACTCCAATATAAATGTACTTTGCTTTTTAACTTCAATATAACGAATGTTCGTAACGGAACGAAAATACGTCAACGGAATTTCGTATTTCCTGCCTGTGTATTGTAATGCAAATCCTTATTTCGGATTTTAAAAAAAATCTTGTCATGTTGTTCAACCTCATTTACAGGGGTAATATTCGTTTCTGTTTCAAAGAAATTCGCATCCGAAATTCGTTAACGGAATTTCGTATTTCGGATATAATTCG